CCTGTAACTCTACTGTATAGTAAATACATAAATAGAAAGGTAGGATTGACTTGAAGGCACACAACAAGAATACAATATTCCAAATTCAAGGTGATAAATTCTCACCAATTTCAGCGGATCGTATTGATGGAGTCAGAATCATGCTGTCTTTCTTCATGTATTTCTTACACCTGATGAAGCTCGAAAAGCTATCACAGTTGGTATCCTCAAGGCAGAACAAAGAAGCAACGAGTACTGCAATAAATCCGTGAAACATCTAAAGACTTGTCATGATTTATTTCTTAAAAATAAGGGACAAGTACAGCATGTTTTAGTATATTAATGTATAATTCATCATAAAAATAAGTTGATATGAAGAAAAAAAATTCTACAAACTGGACTTCAAAGCTTCCACTACAGCCGTGGCTGAATCTATGCACCCATCAAAGTTGGAATGAACAAATCCATCACCTCCACAGATCAAGAATGGTTTTGTATGAAGAGTTATTTGTCCTGGACTTCCAGGGAAAGCTGTGGTCACCTGTAACAGAGAACACGTGGGAAGAAGAATAAATAACTATGTAACTTCTCTTTAAAAGAAGGAGCAGAAAAAAGATGATCAATTGATGTTAATGATCACTGGCATCTATCACTGCAAATAGTTCACATGTAATTCTATTACCTGTTAAAATATCATAATCCAAAGGAGAAAGAAGATGTAAATCTAGGAAATTCACAAAAGCCATTTGCCTAAGATATACTTGAAATACTGGTGTGGAAAGTTTATTATCTCCTACTTTGGAAATATGAATATCACGGAACCACAACACTTGCCTCTAACAAGTATGGCCAACTAAAGCCCTTTGTCTATATAAATAAAAATGTAATGTTCGTTTGTGGGATTAACAGAACTCAAAAACCACTGGACGAATTGACACCAAATTTGGACACAAGACACCTAACAACCCAATGTATGTTCTTCACTCAAAAAATTGATTTTGTCATTTGGGAGTTGTAGTTGCTGGGATTTATAGTTCACCTACAATCAAAGAGCATTCTGAACCCCACCAATGATGGAATTGAACCAAACTTGGCACAGAGTTCTCCCATGACCAACAACTGGAAGGGTTTGGTGGGCAGTGTCCTTTGGTTTTGAAGTTGTAGTTCACCTACATCCAGAGATCATTGTGGACTCAAACTATGATGGATCTGGACCAAACTCTACACGAATACTCAATATGCCCAAATGTGAACACTGGTGGAGTTTGGGGAAAATAGAATCTTGACATTTGGGAGTTGTAGTTGCTGGGATTTATAGTTCACCTACAATCACAGAGCATTCTGAACCCCACCAACGATAGAATTGGGCCAAACCTCCCACACAGAACCCCCATGACCACCAGAATGGGCCACAGCAATGCGTGGCAGGGGACGGCTAGTGTTAAATAAAGCATTCTGCTTCATCAGTCTTATGGAACCATTATTCTTTTCTCTACCAAAATGGAAATATCTAAAATCTTCTTTTCCTACCTTCAGACTCCTCTTTTCTCCTTACTAAGAACCACGTATTTTCCTTGCTGCTCTAGTGTCAGATAGTGGTGGTATGTTAAATAATTTTCTCACTGTATCCTCTCCTATTTAGAGAATGACATGCTGGTCCAACTGTGTCTCAGAATAATGAGAAATGCATTTTCTCTGGTGTAGCCTTTGGAGCAGCAAGTCAGGCAAATGAGTAGATAAGTTGGACCAGCAGAGTATGTCCATCACTATTTCATGCCAATCCATTTTGGCATGGCCAGAGATCCCTTCTACACTGTTCTTATATCCCGGGATCAGATACCAGGTTATCTGTTTTGAACTGGATTATGTGAGTCTCCACTGTCATATAATCTGGGATAATCTGGGATTGGATCCTGGGATATAAGGATGGTGAAGCAGGGGCCTGAGGCTATCTTTCTGAAACGAAGCATATCTGGGTCTGATTATTACCTGAATGATAGTACCTGAGTCCCTTTGAGAAGAGAGGGTATAAATAAAATTATTATTATTATTATTATTGTTGTTGTTGTTGTTGTTGTTGTTGTTGTTATTATTGTTGTTGTTGTTGTTATTATTATTATTATCCATTCAGAAAACAAAAGTACAGGCTGCATCTATTGTTTCTGCAAATACAAAATACAAAAGCCTTCAAAAATGAAACTTTTTGCTGTCCCCTCATTTTTTTGCCAGCCCACATAGTTTTTTCCTTCCACTGGGCCAGTGGCAAAGTGGGCACCCTGGAAACAAGGCACGAGCACAGCGTGGATTGGCTGAGCAACAGGAGCTTGGCAATATTTCCTGAGTCCTTGATAGCCAGATGGATTCGGACCTTTCCCTTCACAGACACCAGGTTTTACAGGGGATTACTGTAAGTCTAGCAGCAAAAACAAGAGTGCCCTCCCCTTTCCTTTCCCCCATCAAATGTCTGATTATGGTAGAGTGACAGTTCCTTGAGAGAAAAAAATCAGTGGAGGCTGGATATATAACTAGACTCCTTTCTTCTCCATCAGTAATTCACTATGCATATGCAAATACTAGTATTTCAACCCCCCCCCCCCCCCAATCAAAAAAAAACTTTGGTTTTAAGTATTTCAGATGAGGAAAAATCAACCTGTCTCTGTCCTGTTATGGGTTGGAGCAAATTTGGAATACAAATTTATCAAATAGACAAGCAAACAACACAAGAAACTCCTATCGGAAAGAGAAAAAGACAGAATTATATGTACTGCATTTATTCGATTCTAAGATAACATCAAAGTTAAGATGCACACTAATTTCAATGTCACCAACAGTTAAAAAAGTGTATTGTCGAAGGCTTTCATGGCTGGAATCATTGGGTTGTTGGAGGTTTTTCGAGCTATATGGCCATGTTCTAGAAGCATTCTCTCCTGACGTTTCACCTGCATCTATGGCAAGCATCCTCGGAGGTTCACCTCACCTCATAACCTCTGAGGATGCTTGTCACAGATGCAGGTGAAACATCAGGAGAGAATGCTTCCAGAACATGGCCACAAAGCCTGAATACAACCCAGGAAAAAAAGCTTTGTTTACCCCAATTTAGAGATGTTTAGATAGGGAAAAATGCATCTTAGAATTGAAGAAATACAGTATCTATCTATCTATCTATCTATCTATCTATCTATCTATCTATCTATCTATCTATCTATCTATCTATCTATCTGAATTATTGAGATAGTCCAAACTTATGTCTTCTACCAGTTACAGTATATTCTGGCGTATAAGACTACTTTTTAACCCAAGAAAATCTTTGCAAAAGTCAAGGGTCGTCTTATACGCAGGTGTAGTCTTATGCATGGGAGTCGTCTTAACTCTATATTTTAACTGGAAAAGTTGGGGGTCGTCTTATACGCCCAGTCGTCTTATATGCCGGAATATACGGTAAATCCCTTATGCAAAAAACTCCAGATATTTTGCAGTCCAAATCCCCTTCTCATTAGCCATCCTGTGGACATGTTTGTGACAGAAACTGCAGCTCACAACACATTTGCTACCTGATTTTAAAGTTTTTTTAATGAGTACTACCGCTTCATCTCACTTATTTTGATTGAAACTAACATCTCCTTACTTCACCTACCATAGTACGTATCTTAGCTTCATTATCATAGCTTCACATTTTTAAAAATGCTGAGCTTGCACAGATATGTCTATTTCATTTTTCTTCCAAGTATTTTTACCAGTGGATCACAGAAGTGTGTTTTCCATCAAGTACCACTATTGCAACTTTACTACCCAAAGAATTGTTTTACATTTCCCCTCCCTCTCAGTCAAATTACTAGTGTGTAAGTCTGTATATTCATCATATTTCTTTAAAAAGTAGAATCGAAGGACATGAATAACCCAAGACACAAAAATGGATAAATAGAAAATAAAAACATAAAAGCTATAAACATTTTGATTGAAACTTGGGTCACACAGTGGTGCCAAGGGAACACAGACAACTCCTTTCCCCGGCTCTAAGCTCAAGAGCAGCTGGGATGACTCTATTTGTACCCCTACAACCAATCAGTGGCTAGGAAATGATCTGTGCTTGACAATGCCTCCCCAGTTGTTGCTGTGCAAATGCAGAAGCAACTAGACAGGGAGATCACCGATGAACTCATCCAGTAAATATACCGGTGGAAACTAACATCCCACTCGCATAATGTAGGATTTTGGTCTGTGTAGAATTTTTCTGCTGGTTCTGAGCAGCCCATTTCCACAATGACTTATTACCTACGTAGCCTTTGAGAATGGGCTTTCTTCCCCTCCTCCTACTGCCTACAATAGGCTCACATACACCAAGCACATCTAAGGAGTAAAGAAATGTCTAACCAATGGCAGTACGTACAGTAAAATAATATTCTATTATTATTATTATTATTATTATTATTTGAAACACAACAAGATGAGTCCACAGCAGTCAAGATCACTCTGCTGGCTGTTGTATTGGATCACACGTCGGACACTTCCCAAGTGTCTAGGACTGTGTGATATATTGGCAAATAATGCGTGCAGATTCTAGTAAGGTGGCCTTCTGCAGCTGGTAGATGGTAATTTTGTCAGCGCCAATTGTGTTTAAGTGCAGGCTAAGGTCTTTAGGCACTGCATCCAGTGTGCCAATCACCACTGAGACCACCTTTACTGGTTTGTGCCAGAGTCTTTGCAATTCGATCTTTAAATCCTCATATTGTGTCAGCTGTTCCAGTTGTTTCTCTTCAATCCTGCTGTCACCTGGAATTGCAACATCAATGATCCATACTTTGCCTTTTAACACAACCGTGAGGTCAGGAGTATTGTGCTCCAAAACTCTATCAGTCTGAATTTGGAAGTCCTAGAGTAGTTTGACATGTTCATTTTCTGTAACTTTTTCAGGCTCGTGATCCCACCAGTTCTTTGTCGCAGGCAGATGGTATTTGTGGCACAAGTTCCAATGAATCATCTGAGCAACTGTGTTATGCCTCTGCTTGTAGTCTGTCTGCGCCATCTTCTTGCAGTAGCTGAGGATGTGATCTATTGTTTCATCTGCTTCCTTGCAGAGTCTACACTTGGGATCTGTTGCCGACTTTTCAATTCTGTCTTTAATGGCATTAGAATAATAATTAGAAAAATAATAATTATATTATTATTACTGATATTAATTACTGCTATTAATTAGAATAATTATTCTATTATTATTAGTTATTATTATTACATTTATATCTTGTCTTTTCATTGATAATGGGACTCATTTAAGTAACAACAATTGAAAAAAAATACAAAAGTCAAAATAAAACTATAAATACAAAAATGTATATACAATTTATTAAAAGGCAATTTTTAAAAACTCAGTACAACTCAATAAAAAAACCCCTTTAAAACAGCACCAGAGTGCATTAAAAGGCCAGTCCTTATTAGTTTGTAAAAAACTGGTAGCACAGAAATGTTTTGAGTAGTTGCTGGAAGGACAGCAAGGAAGGGCGCTTCTTTTCTTTCTAGGGAGGGTATTTTCCAATGTTTGGGAAT